TAGTTTTCTGTTTGCATTTCAGACTCTTCAAAAGGCATCTTTAAAAAAAGCCAATTTTTAAACAAATTATGCCATTAACAAACAAAAACAAGAGAAGATTGTCCTTTATAAAATGCTGATATGAATCACTTTAAATGTTTCTCAAGCCTTCCCAGCTCCCTTTTTTCACTTGAAACAACTTGCCAAATTTAACTCACTTCCACAAACCATTTCAGTCCTTACAAAACTACCTTTCTGGGGAAAAAATATACCAGTTGTCCAAAATGCTTCATCCCAACACAGCTTTCATTGCAATATGGACTTTGACACTGTTCATGGTGAATTTGGCTTTCCAGTCTGGGTAGGACTGGCCCCCTTTCTGACCAACAAATTGCTTTGTTAACCCCTCACACAAGCAAGCAGTAAAGATTGTGTTGACTTCAAAAATATTGTACCTGACAGTGAAACAAGAAAGGATTAGAATCAGTGTGTGCCCTCTTCTCCCCATTCACACAAATTCTTGCAGTCCCTACAATCAAGCTAGAAGGATATCATAGTGATGACAGTTCAGAACATTTCAGCTAATTCATGGCTTTAATTTACTGAAAGCTGATACTGTCACAGCTAACTAACTGAAGGCAACACAGAAATGGCAAGGAACGGGAAGCCTTACTGGGTCATGCAACAAAGCCTTTAGAGAACGGTCAGGATATTTCAACTGCCTTGTCATGGCATTTCTGGGATACTTCAGTGAAGAGCTGCCCAGACTAAGAAACACATCCCTTTTGGTGCCAGTATAGGGTTTCATCTCTGGAAGGTGAGGCTGACAAATTGGAACTAATCTAAGATGGTGTGGTACAGTCATCTCGCCTGCAGGGACACATTTCAGCATTCAGCTGCAGAATGCCAGCTTAAGAACGAGCTCTCAATAAAGGAAAGTTCAGGCCAAGCCTGGGGATGCACGACTTTTAAATCAAGAACACTTTTTTTTTCCTTAGTCTAACCCCATCTCCCTGGGGATGATAATAGGTTCAGAGGATGATAATGCTGTACTGCAAACAGAGAGAGAAAAGTCAGAAATCTCTCTTCCCAGCACTAGTTTTCCTTTATTTCCTAAAACTCTTTCACAGTTTAATCCATCAGAGAGGGTGAGATTAGTGTTATAGAGAAACTCAGAATTATTCTTATTTTTTGCCATGTTCTTTCATGAAGCTAAAGACCAAGTCATGCACCATCCTCGGCAAAAGGCGTCTTTCAATTCAAGTGAGAGCTGAGGACAAGTTACCAACCAGAACAGAGGGTAAATTATGCTGAAGACTCACTATTTTAGCTAGGTCAACCAACGGCATCTTCCTGGGCAATTTAATTAACAAGCCCACATGGCATAATATTTTCTACACACTGTAACTGCAAAGCCAGTTACACTTAGAAGTGCAGTAATACCAGGCTTTAAAGACTTCAAGAAAGGGATAAAGCCTGTCTTCCTGTTTTGGGAGAGACCCTACATCCTTGTCCACAATAAACAGCAGGTATTTATCATTATCCTGTATGTTAGAAAGATCTGGGTACACTCATGTGGCAAGAAAAGGACTATGGAGGTTTTTTTCACTGAAGAGAGTGCAGTGTAGTAGTCATCTTCACAGAAGGGTATGATGCTAGCGAACCAGCAAACAACAGCTAGCACTGCAAGCAGGAGCAATTCCAATTAGATATTCAGTACTTTGGCTTGCAGGTGAATTAGCACTCTGAGGGCTTCACTTCTCTGCACCTAACCCCTCCCACACTTACACCCAGCCAAATCTGATCTACTGTAGTGTCGTTTGCCCATGATTTTTCATTTCTCAGCTCTTTTCAGAAAGAAACAGGTGAAAGCAAAAATTAAATATTCTGATTTTGAAACAGTCAGAAATTTCACTGGAAATAGTCTAGTAGACGTAATTTCACCAACTCTCTTGGTCTATGTACATAAGTAGTAGCTATTAAGAGACAGAACCGTACTAGTTCACTTTCTGCTATAAGATTTATGCTCTAAGATTACAATCAAATTGCAACTTTTGCCCATTTATTTTTAAAAAATACTATTTAAAATTGTGTACAGACCTTCCAAACATTCTAAATTAGAGGGGATGCTTAACCACCCCTTTAAGTCACACAAGGCACCTTGTCTTTTCATTCCTAACTATATGGGTCCACAAATACACTTCTTAAACTCTTGCATATGCTTGAATAAAACAGTAAAGTTTAGCACCCTGTTTCCATGCATCCTGATAGACTGGGCATTGATGTTCACTTCCACGGCCATTTCCTTTAGAGCTGCCTGAATGTACATACAACATATAAACAACCTTCCTCACAGATGTGTCTGTGCTGCAAGCACTTGTGCTTTATAGCTGTGATATTAAAGTCACTTGTTGCTGGTTATGAACATTTCACCACAAGAAAGTCCCTTTAGAGTCACAACCCATTTGGTCTCTTCTCTTGAGAATGAGCAACAGTTTGTAGATAACAGACAATTCTTGGCATTATTGTTGCTGTTTTGGCTTAAACTTCTAAAGCTCAGTTCACAAGCACTCAGAACAAAGGAACCAGGATTTTGGACAAGAGCACAAGACCCAAATCCTTGGTGAAAGTCCTGCATCCCAAACAATGACGATGAAGAAAATCCCATCAGCCAACTGTTACCATATCATCATGGGTAAATGAGTGGTTAGTTCCTGTTTTGATCACAGGAGAACTAGTATATCCCATCCCTTCTACGAGAACTGCTGACATACTCAGGCTTTTAATGGTGCCCACCGCGCCTGGGATTTCAGAGGATAGCGAAGTGCATCCGACAGTATACTTTGCCAATTGTACAAAGCTATGGGGTTGGGGTAAAAAAATCTCTCACACTGGCAGGAGATCAATTTACAAACTCAAGCATGACGTTTAATTACCCATTTCATTATCTTAGCTTGCATAGCTCTGAATGTGAACCTTCGATGAACCAAAGAAATAGTCACTAGCTGCTGCTTTGAGAAAGAGGGAGATAACAAGAAGTTCAAATGCCTAAAACTGCTCTTGCTGCATATGGCACCACAGACCTTGTTTGCAAAAGCAGGGGGAATGTCCCCAGCCAATAGATCTGTGCTATACCACACTACGTGGAACTTCTGAAAGTCCTATTTATGTGCTAATCTAAACAAAGACCAAAAGAGATGAAACAGACTTATCTAGCCAATCACAGAGAAGTCTCAGAGTTAAATTTTCAAATACTAGCAATTGATCCTTAGAGATTTTTTAAAAATTCATCCAGTAAACTCAAGCAAATAAATTGTGATGTGCTTGTGGATTTTGTATGAGCAGGAAATAAAGTGTTTGCTGTAAATTATTCACTCAGCACTAGTTAACTACAACGCCGGCACATTACTAGGCTTTTTAATATTCTTCTCAAGATAATAGGTAGCATTTTGCTTATTACCCTCATTTTTAAGTTATTAGTTACATTAGGCCTTTTGTAAATAAAGTGAAGAATTGCAAGAAAATCAAATGCTTTTCCAACTACCTCATTAAAAGTCTCTTTAGTTCAGGAGGGTTGAAAATTCTGCATATCATGAAAAGCTAAAACAATAGTATACCATGAGGCTCAGCAATTCCAAATTAATTCACATGCCCTTTCATGACACCTGGGTTCCCAAAAGGCTTTTCAAGTTATGAGCCATATGCATGTCTGTAAAGCTGCATGCCTCTCAAAAAGTATAAATAATAGTGCAGGAGAAAAACCTATAGGGCAAGTGAATTTATGGGGGAAAACAAAAGCTACTTAATTGCAAATGGAGTTGCCTACGTGTAGGGTACCTGGAACAGAGTAAAGCTGTGTAGTATCAAATTCTAGAGCCATTTTAGGGCTTTATTCCTGTAAGGTGACATAACCTTTATAATAAATTCCTAGTGCTGTCAGATGCCACTACTGGAACATCGCTCCCTGGTTTTGGATTTGCAAAGAGTTGAGGGAGTATCAGTGTAGCTGGAAGGAGACCATGTGCCCTTGGAAGTTTCACTTATAAAACATGTATATAAGCACTGTTGAAATCACCCACGCAATTCCCTGCTATTTCAGTTTAGTAAGTAGCAAAGCATAGGAGGGCTAAGAAGCACATATCAAAACAGAGACAGCAGCACCATTTTCTGCAACTTCTACCTTCTTCCTCGGTGGTCTCCTCATCCACACAATAACCCAGTCTTATTCTGCTTAGCAATGCAATACCTAATTAGATCAAAGCTCAAGGTAGCCTGGCTACAGAGCATATTGTGTTATTTAGTCTTGTGCTGTAAGCAAAACCACATACATTATTATTACATTTCTCAGGGGCTTCTGCAGAGAACTATGTGGTACATGTAATTGCCCCCACAAACAAATCATCAACTAATCAACTGCTTTTCATTATCACCTCCAGCAGCACATTTATTTTGTAAATAAATGCATTAAAAGCAAACAATTTTAGGGAAAACAAAAGATTATCTGAATACGTTCTCAACAGAGGAGGTGGTAAAGTAGTAATTCAAATACTAAAATGAAGCAAAATTAGCATAGGGTGGAATGATTATTCCATTCTATGTATCCCTATCTATTACAGTACAATAATAGACTGAAATCTGTGACTTTAATGGATGATCTGGGTAGTTGAAGGGAACTGTGATTGACTGACACATTTACATAGAGGCTGATGAGCAGCATAATGAATGCATTTATAAAACACAGCTAAGGTCTAACTCTAAGCCAACTTTAACTCCCACACCTAGAGGAGGCTTGCAGAGCAGATACCCTGCTATCTTGGAGAGTTGCTCTCTACATCCTGAAGCAATCAAATTTTCCATTGAGCCCCCTTCCTCGATGGGAACTTCAGGAAGCATATGGCCACATGAGAACCTCCAGTTTAAGAGGAATGAATTGAAAGAAGCCATATGAGATTCAGTGACAAAACAGTGCAGGGTGTATAAGGTAGATATAACAATACGCAGATTCATACTCCACACCATACCTGTAATTTCCTAGGTATACTCCATCAGGATTGAGCATGGGTGCAATCTTGAAGACCAGGTGATCTCTCAGTACTTTCGCAATAGGATGCTGGCTCACAAGGAAATCAATTATACCTGAGAAAAATGAAAGAAGAGTTTGAAGAGGGGGGTTTATGACATTAATGATTTCCAGATATCTGAAATTTCACATATAAAAGATTAGAATGATCATTCCTCTTGGTTCCTGGCACTGCTCCTGCTTCCAAAAGAACAAACCACTTGCAATCATGTAGCACTTGCCACCTTCTAAAAACTCCAGAAATAAGAACTTTTAAGGATAAATAATTCAGTCCATCCTCATAATGCAAGTACAATATGGCTACATTATCAGATACAGTCAGGTTTCCAGAGGGAGAAGTTACTGCTCATCAGCTGAGCCACAATAACAAAACATTTCTCCTCCTAAGTGGTGAAATGAAGTAAAACCTGCTAGTTGAAGCCTAGCACCTTACATACCCAGCATGCGTACATGGGCACATACTGTAGCTCAGCTCATGAGTGGCAATTTGTTGAGCTGAGGCACCTCAAATTTGCTTGAGCACATGCCCACACCTACCCTTGACATACGAACACAGAGTTTAGATCATCTGCATATATAAAGAGGTATAAAATTCCGCACTAAAATTGGGAGAGTTACAAAACCTCTGTACCAGGCACAGGGAAACTGTGGGATTGATAAACTGGAATTTATAAGGTCAGATTCTTCACTTACTTTACACCCATAAAAACCAGGAGTAACTCCACCTCATCAGTGAAGCTCCTTTAATGTGGAACCAAGGCAAGTGACAGGGGAAACGGATCCTAAATGCCCTTCCTTCGGGCACAGTCACAGCACCAGACCCCTCAGGAGCTCCAGCCCTGGGCCTTGTGCTCCGGGAGCGACTAAACATCTCCTTGCTCCAAGGCTGGTGCTGGGGCAGGAGGCAGGCAGTCTGGCAGTTAAATTCATTTCTTATTCCTCCACTGAGTTGGTACTGAGAGAAATAGCTTCCAGGGAATGAATGTTGAGATAAATTGAGTTCTTGTGTAATCTCAGGACACCCACAGATAGGTCATGACAATTTGCTATTTATTGTAAGGTCCATCCTGTGAAGCAGGAACCATTTACTGAATTTCCCCAGAATAAATCAATCTCTATGCTCTAGTAACAGGATAAAATTAAGCAGAGAAAAATTAAGGCTGATCATCAGTAAAATTTCACTAATGGCAAGCTCTGTTAGACTGTGGAATTGTCTCTCCAGGGGAAGAGTGGAATCCCGTCATCAGAAACATTTAATGCTGGACAGGGCAAAGCCCTAGGGAATAGATATAACAAGCAACAATTCAGCATAGAAAAGATGGCATGGGCTAACTAGCTGACTTCAAAAGAGCTGATTTTAGACCTGATTTTTTGTGATGCAATCAAAATCTTTAAAAACAAACAAACTAAAACTGAGGTACATGCCAGGTTAGCCACACTTGTTTATAGCTTGGCTGAAACATACATTAAAGATGGGACCAAAATCTCACATTCTGTACAACTCCTTCATTTAGCCTATTTCCTAAGGCCTATTTTGTATTTCAAATACTAACAAATGTGAACCTAAGCTGCTGTTGGAATGAATTCTAATTTGCTGAGGCACACGGGGAAAAATGAGGCTTCTGAAATGTCTAAGATGATCAAGGTATAATTGACTCTAAACATCAGCAATTTTTTCGTCTATTAGCAACTAATCCTGAAGAAGAGAAAGTCCCTTTCTGTAACCAGGTCTTCCACTTGAGAAGAGGCTAAACCTGAATTTCTGAGGCAAATTAGCATATACATAATTATATTGCTCAGGAAATGTTTCCACAATTACCTCCTCTCAATGAAGGAAACTGAACATCGATCTGCTTTTTGGCTGGTGTTGTGTCTTTTGTTCATTATACAACAGCAAGTACACGAAGAAACAACAAGGACACAGTTGGATCCTGAACACCCAGGTTTCCTAACTGTATGCAAACACAAAAGGCTTAGCTATGTTAAACTGCTGCTCTAACTGTTTTCTGGCAGTGTCTAAAACATAATCCACAGTATGCACACCTGGAAGACTCAAGACTACTTAAAGAGATACAATCCCACACTTAGTCCGTGGCTTCTTGAGACACTATGCTGGTTTTAGTTTTAAAGAGCTTGCAACTAGACTCAAAACATCACAAAACATCACATCCGTTCGTGTTTTCTAAAATACTTGGAAGAGTTAACTATTCAGAAATCGGTATGTCCAGAACATACTTTATCCTAGGTCAGGTACGATCTTTCAAAGCAGCCTCAATAAATGCGGCATAAATATCGCGTTGTGTACACGGTCATCACTTCATCAAAGACCTTGGTGGAACAGTTTTGCCATGAAAACTGGCAGTGCACCAAGTGTGTACTTGTGACAGCTCTTCACGCAGCAGGGAGGACCACAAATACCTTGGGAATAACATGACTGCTTTTCATTCAAGACATAAGACAAGAACCCAAACTCTCATAGCTTTGCTCTGGCTGTAACTGTGCCAGGGAAGAGGCTTGTCCAGGTTCTGCTCATTTTGCTCCTGTTATGGATGCAGCGTCACTCACAGAGCTTGGCAAAAGCATCTTGGCAACCAGAAGCTACAGTTTTCAGCTTCACGCAGGGAATTATTATTCCCTAACCAAGAACGTGCTATGACATGGAAGGTTGTGTATAAACACGTAATGGGTGAGCCTCTGCTCGGAATGATTCACTGTTGCACCAGACACACCAGAGGAAAGGGAAGAGACTGACCTTGGGCACCCAGCAGCTTGGTGGCAAACAACACCCAGCATTTCCCAATGTACCACAACCTATTAGGGGGTACTGCAGCCAAGTTCACCCAATCCAAAGAGATTTACTGTATTTTCTTATTTAGGAGACAGTTAATTAAATCTGAAGAAGTCTTACCCCATGATAAAAATACAAAGCAAGAGTTAAAAATAACTGACTCACAGAAGTCTAACCTGGAAGTAAAGGCAGTTCCCAGGAACGTAAGCGAAACATCAGATGAAAGCATACATCTATGTATACAAACCTCTCTACAAAATTATTGTAAGCATCCAAATAATCAATACAATTAACAAATAGCTTTGTCTTTCGGAGGAACCCAATAGTCTCTGGATCAATAACATTTAAAGTAAAAAGACAGATATAAGACTATTAAAAAAAATACCATCGCAGAGAACTTGGTCCTCCTGTTAATAAATCAATACAAACTAAATTTTACAGCTTCTATAATCAGCAAGAGACATATCAGTGTATCTCATTAGGCTGGGGTTAAGAATTTGGCAGCAACCAAAGCCCATTTAATATCATTTACTTCAAGGCAGACATGGCAATACAACAGATGCCCTAATTTATTTGTTGATCTTTGTATTAAAATAACAGTTTGGTGGTAAACAGGAAGGGTAATGATGCCAGTCACCCTTGTTAGTGGCTAATAATTGCTTAATTTGTCCACTAATTGACCTATGCTACTGTTGAAGCACTGGATCGTGTTGCAGGGCATGAAGTAAACAAGGCCACTGCAATGTTACTTTAGAGAATGACTTCTGGAAATAGAACTACTTATTGCTATAAATTTTCTCTTCACAGATGAGCAGATTAATTGGTCTGCCAATTAGTCTGCTATTAAAGAAAAAAATGGGCTGCCCACAGATTGGTTGGATCTTCGAACCGCAGCCCCAGTTTGGGTCAAATGAAATAATCCAATCTGAATCAGTCACATCAGCTATGAAAACTAAGACAAGTATTATTTAAAAAAAAAAAAACTCTGTGGCTGGAGATCAAGGAAAATAGCCCAATAACTAAAGTATTAGCTCTTCAAGCTACTTTAAAATAAAATGGAGAACATGATGGAATGGACCTACTCAGGCACATTACAGTATGGAAAAGTTCTCAAATTAAAAGAAGCGAAACAATATAGATTATTTTTGTATCATCCTTTCCGGAAAGTAATTAAAATCATTATTTTTCAAATAATAACATGCAATTATAGATGCTGCCTGGAACTGGAACAGCTCAGAAATCAGCATTCAGCCATGATATAAGAAGAGGCTTATCCATAGTCCACTAAAAATCAACCAAATTCTTTACATTAATTTCAAGGAGCTTTTCATAGTTGTGAGGGAAAGGAAAGAAAGAATCAAAAACAAGGAAAAGGGAAAACAATGCTGACAACTGCGAGTCATTAGATACACAGTCACAACGGCTCCAAAAATTTTAGCAGTTTTTTTACCAGTCTTTCTTGGTAAACACAGCTTCACTGAAACTGTGCTAATTCAGGACCAAATCTCCTCTACTCCAAGGCACTTCTCCGTCATTATTCTTTCTCAAGACTAAATGTACTTTCTCAAATTTCTCTTGCCTTCTGCAGCTCAGCACCTCTCACCTAGTCTAACACCAGATCATGTGGCATCTCTCTGCCCGCCCTAATCCAGCTCAAATTATCTACTGGTGCTTGACAAGAAAGTTGATCATTCCCTCTCCCATAACATGTCAACCTTCTCTGCTCACATGATTTCTACTGTTCTGTCTGGGTGTTCCTTCAAATAACTGTCTTAAACTCTGTTTAAACTTCCTGCCACCTCTAACATGACCTCTGCACATTTGCTTCTTCCAAAGAAAAGCCTGTCTTATCCCCTGTTTCTCCATTACCACATCCTTCCACTCTCAGTCTGACAATATGTTTAATTGTGTAACTATGTAATACATTTGCCCTGCTTCTATTACTGAAAATCTAATCATCACAGATCCTAATGCAATATGGCAACTTCCAATACAAACATATCCTGGACTGTGTCTAGTATATGCCAAGAAAGAACTGATTTGTATTTTCAGACCCATTTCCTAACACTGAATAACTGCTGGTATCCTGCGGTCAGCTCACCATAGCCTGCAGATTAAAGAGAATGTAACAATTAGGCTCTAACAACAACAGGATATATTCATTGGAAAACAAATACAAGGGAGTCCTGAATGCTTATGCTTATATAAAACTATTGAAATGTTCTGTTAAAGGAGACTGAACCAATGTGAAAGACACTATACTTACAC